AATGTAGGAAATAAGTTGTATGGGATGGGAACATAAAAAAACATGAGGGAAAGCAAATAGTGATATAGTCAAGCCTAGCTGGGTCATTCATTGTATTATATATAAATAACTTAGAGTGGCTCTTCATATAAGAGATTTAAAATCTGATGTCAAGAATTTTCATTTATATAAATTGTGAAAATTCTTTGAGAAAGATAATTCACCAAATTAACTTAAGAAATATAGTTCAAATAGATATGTTACCGAAACTGAATTTGTAGAATTGCAGGTATAATTTTAAAGTGACAAGGAATGGTTCCAACTTCCGAGTAAGATGCAGAAAACTGAAGAGTGTTTTCAATCAAACACGGAAAAGCTAGGCAGGTAATGTATAGTGTTGAATGTTCACGCATCCCTTAGACAGCTGAGAGATCACAAGTCCTCTGACAGAGCAACAGCTCAGGAGGCGTCAGCGCAGAGTGGATGCTGCAGCTTGCAGACAAGAGGAAGGAAACAAGCCAAACAAAATTTTTTTTTAGTTTTATAATTAATTTAATTTTACATATCAGACGTGGATTCCCCTGTCCTTCCTCCTACCCCCGAACCCCCCCCCCCTTCCCCCAATCCACCCCCAATTCCCATCTCCAGGGCAAGGACTCCCCTGGTGATTCAGCTCAGCCTGGTAGATTCAATAGAGGCAGGTCCAGTCCTCTCCTCCCTTCACCCAGGCTGAGCAAAGTGTCCCTTTGGTTAATAAGCCCTAGGTTCCAAACAGCCAGCTCATGCACTAAGGACAGGTCCTGGTCCCACTGCCTGGGGGCCTCCCAAACAGTTTTTTTTTTCAAGTCTTCTCTCATTTATTACATCCCAACCACAGTTTCCCCGCCCTCCTCTCCTCCCATTCCTTCTCCTCCATCTACACCAGATCCACTCCTCCGTTTCCTTTCAGAAAAGGGCAGACCCCCTAGGGATATCAACCAAAAGAAAAAAAGAAAGAAAATAGAGAAACTTCTTAGCATGAAAGGAGGAGATGTCCCTGGACTAAGCACTCTAGATGACTCTAAAGGGACAGGGGCATCACAAAGCTCTGCCTCCTCGATGCAGGGTAGCCCAAGCTGGAGAAGAGCAACAGATACCCCCCATATACACATGGCAACCCACTTCACTTGGAAATGAACAACATCAGCCCACTGTTGGGAAAGGATAGGATATGGAAAGACACATTTCCTGAAATATAAAAAGCTAAAGGTGGAACAGATGGATGAAAAGCCTCCCCACAAACCAGCCTCCAACCTGAACACAGGAATAATACTAAAGACATTCTGCTGGTCCACTAAAGGTAAGCATAGCAACAGAGAGACCCAAACTTAATTATGGATTGGACCAAACTGCGCTAATAAAGCTCTGGCAAATGAACATGGACTCATTTATGATGTCTGGTTTTCAAATTATAAAAGGGGAGGGGTCGAAAGGAGGGGGAAAAAGAAGGCATCATCTCATTCAAGGAAAACTCAGTTCAAGAAGGAGCCAGATAGTAGGTCTATCAGGGAATCAAAAAATTATGATTGATGGTCTGAAACAAGTAGGAAAATTAACCAAGAGATGGAAACTACAAAAAGTGTAATAACTAAAAAAAATAGAGTTGACAATGCCTTGCATAGGTGTTTGAGTAGGTACACCCGGGGAGGCAGGAGAGCAGCAGACTTAAGATAAATCAATATAAACCAAATGTAAGGAAGGAAAAAGAGCATGAAGTACCCAACGCTGAGGAACACTTCGAAGTGAGCCTAACATACATGTACTTAGAACACCAGAAGACAGGAAAGAAAGTGGAAGAATTACCTAAAGATTTAAGAGAAAATATTTTTCCAAAAATAATGAGTAACATCAAAATATAGACCCAGAATGCTTTAAAACCCCCAAGCAGGTTACATTTATAACTTAAAAAATCATGCAGGAACATATAGACTGATTAATATGAGAGACACTTTATAAATCCAGGTATGGTGGCACACACCTGTAATCCGGGTACTTGGCAAGTAGAGGCAAAAGGATTAGAAGGAAAAGATATCCTTGGCTATACAGGGAGTTGAAGGTGAGCCTGAGCTACATGAAACTTTGTCTCAAAAATAACAAAAAAAAAAAAAAAAAGCAAAAACAGAAGAGTGAGAACTAGGACCATGGAAACCAGAAGATGATGGAGTTACATCTTGAAAATGCTGAAGGCTAGGGCACAGAGGGAGTCCAGCAAGCATATCAAACCTTAGTGAGAATATCTTTCATAAAGTCTTTCAGACAAGTAAAAAGAATTGTCAGTAAATGTCATATGCAATTTTATGAGAAATTCTAAAGGTAAATGGAATATGAAGCAACAGAAACTTGGTCTTCATAAAGAGAAAAAAAGCCCCCAGAAATAGATGTAATGACAATATATTGTTTTTCTGGAGCAAAAATGCTATCAGTTTTGGCTGTTTTTTTAACCAATTATAAAAGTACAAAGTCAAAGAGGTAAGAATTGGAAGTGTGCTGTACCTTAGTTGTTACTATCAGTCATGTGCTGTGTAACAGTTCGGTCAACAGAATACTGTGTTTGCAACCATATTCCACTAAGATGATGTCATCTAGTGAGGTCATAGACACTTGGGAATGCTGATGGCCCCACAGTGAAGTAGCTATAAAGATGCATCTCTCAGTATGTCCGCATCGTTAAAGGTGCACAACTGCATATGTAAATCAGAACACTGTTACTCAAAAGTGAACTATGATTTGTTAAAAATTTGTATTGTAAATTTTAAAGCAAGGGAAAACAAACTTTTTTTGTGTCCAAGTCCAGCCCACCTTTTCTTTTTGTAAATAAAGCTTGATTGACACACCCATTTTCCATACTACCTATTGTTGCGTTCTTGGTACATTGATAGAATTTTGCATTTGCAGTAGGCACTATACATTTAGAGACTTGTGTTTAAGCTTCATTTCCTAAGACATTTCCTATCTGGCTATTACAGAAAACCGTTTGCCAACACTGCTCTGTGGTAATCCTGTTACTGAGATTGGAAACTTAAAAAGAAGTAGTACTTGTAGTACTTCATTCTGTCAAGACTTATCTCTCACCCTCCAGATTCTTGTTTCCTTTTAAAAAGCCCAAGTTGCTCTGGTGTGGGGAAATACTTTCTTCTATTCATTTGCATATTTACCTAAAATGAGCATTGTTTTTCTCTTAGTCACTTTGGTAGCAAAGACTTTCCCAACATAACTGAAACTATGGATCTTCACTAACATCCCTGATTTCCTTTTAGTTACAGCAAATAGTGCTATAATTTTACACTGTAGTTTCTAAAGAACAGAGATCCCTTCATGATAGCACAAGGAAAAGAATCATGGTAAGGCTTCATGTGAACTGGAGGTGGAAAGCTTTTGGGTACCGAGGGAGCTGGATGGAAGTGCTCTGGCTGATGTGTACATGATTTCACTCATAGCATCCTTGCTTCATTCTCTTGTCGCTGTCCTACCGACTGGCCTTCTCCGGTTCCTCATTTCTTTGTTTCTATACAAGGCTTTCAGAATATGACTTCTATCTGCCATCAATCTATAACACTACCCAACACCATTCTTTTATGTTCTTCATCTGGTTCTTGATTTTCAACTTTAGGGTCACAATACTGGTCTGGTTCATCTTTTCTTGACACTTGGCTTCATAGGGTTCTTCATAGATTATCTGCTCTTTGGCTGGATTTCCACTCCCACTAAACATCAGTAGCTTAATCATTTAGTTTAAAACTCAGCAGGAATGTCTACGAATCAGGATTTTTTTTCTTCACAGTTGATAGCCACATAGTAAACATTCAAAGCTTAACTATTCCAGTAGTCATTTCCTAGACTTTGGTTCATATTCTATGATCTTACCTTATTATAAAATACTTAACTTTTATAAATTAACTTTTGGTATTTAAAAATATTTTGGAATGCAGTAAATTTTATATTTCTCAGCTTACTACATTATCTAGTATGTAAAATACTTGGAATTTATAATTAATTTTTGGTATTTTAAAATTCTTTTGTGGGTAAAGTAAATTTTACCATATTTCTCAGCTTACTACTTTTCTATCTAGAAATAGGTAATGTAAAGAAGACTTTGCTAAAATACAAACACTTCAATTGTCTATCTATGGTTTAAGTAAGCTGTAGGTATTAAACTTCTAATTCTCAGATCTCAGCCCTGATGCTCACTTCTAAATTGCACATAAAATTTTGAACACACTCAGCTTGGGCTCCTGGTCTCTAGACAGTATCGTATCTCTTGGGAATGCCTTGTAGCCCAATAATCCATGCATTCCTGTATCTTTGATCAGAATCACATTGAAATTTGAAATTTCTCCTCCTTCAAATTGAGCAACTGGTGTACATAGTCCATAGGACTTTTAATTTTCACTAATAGGATCCTGAAGTTCATTCCTGTGAGTTTTAAGGTACTTAAAAAGTTGATCATTGACTTGTGTTTTTGGCCTTGCAAACTTGTCCAGCTCATGAGATACATAATCAAGACATTGAATTCTTCCTCTTAGAGGCTTCTCAAGCCCTGAATTTTATGACTGGCCTTAGTATTTTGTGAGTTATAGTGAAAATCCTAGACAGTACATTTTATACTGTCTTCAGCCAGTACATTTTATACTGTCTTCAGCCAGTACATTTTATACTGTCTTCAGCCAGTACATTTTATACTGTCGTCTTCACCCACAACATAATCTAATTATCTTTCTATCCACAGTCAGGCTCATGTGTGCCCTTGTATGTAATCAGACAAATCTGGAAGTAGAAAAGTAACCATCCTCAAGAGGGAGATGCATAGAAAAAGATGGAAAAGAGACAAAACAGAACAAATACGAGGAAAACTTCATACCTGGTGCTAGTGTTTGTGTATCTAAAAGAAAGGATGGTTGCCAGTGAGAGAAATTAGTCAGAATTCTTTGAAGAAAGTTCTTTTCCTTAGTATTTAAAGTGTTTTACTTCTTCTCATTTTTAAGATGATTATAGATCTTGGGATATTCAGAAATGTGAACTGTGTAAACCAGAGCAAGCTTACCATCCCCCAGATGTGAAATTTGGAAACTCAACTACATTTCAGGATGACTATGTTCCCCGGGAGATAAAGCCTAGGCAAAGCTTCAAGCCCTGCTCCATGGTCAAGAGTTCTGTAGGCCCCTTTAATGGTGATACAAGTCATCGTCGAGATTATGTACCTCATCAGCTACAAGTGAAGTTTGCAAGGGCAAAAGAAGTTTATAAGCCTACTGACCAGCCTTTTGAGGATCTTACCACGCACCGGAATGACTTTCAGGGTTTTACTGGAGAAAGTGCAAAAATCTGCAGACCTGCCCACACAAGAGTAACCCCAAATGCTCAGTTTAAAGGAAGCACTGAATTCCGTGACAGTTTCCAACCATGGGAAATCCCACCACCCAAAGTCAAGAAAGTAGCAGAGTATGTGCCCCCTCAAGGAAGCATGCAGTTAAACAGTACCAGCCATCTCGACTATGTCCCCTATCAGGCCAGCCGCGCTGTTGCTATTAGGCCAGTTTCTCACAGAAGAAAAAGCAATTTTCCTTTCCAAGGAAAAAGCACCATGAAGGAAGATTTTCCAGCGTGGGAAAGTTGTCGTCAAGGACTTATTAAGCAGCAGCAACAGATTCCCAACCCATCTGGAAAATTTGATGGTTTGAGCACTTTCAGATCTCACTTTGTGCCACATGAATTGATTCCAGTGGAGAGCTGCAAACCTTTAAATGCTGCTGTTAAGAGTTCGGTTCCACTCGATGATGTTACCATGTATTCTATCCAGTACACACCAAAGAAACAGGAAATCTGCCCGGCTAGCTATCCTTCTCCTCCAGGTTATATATTTGAAAATACAAATTCCCAAGGACATAAATTCTTTCGCAAGATCATTCCTGCAGTGAAGGCTTTTTAATAATCAAGTAATTTTTATAAGAAAGCTAATGGGAGTTCAGTTTTTTAAGAGAAAACCCAAATTTTATAGTGAAAAATACTATGAGAGCTAAAACATACCATTTTTAGCTTTTAAAACAAGTTAGGACATATAGATCAGAATTCCCAAATCCATTTTGTACTAATAGTTTAACCAAAAATGCTCTTTTTGTTGTTCTTGTGTTATGTTTTTGGAACTAGGACCTCCCTAGTCTCTCCAGGCCAGCCTGGAACATGCATTCTACCTATGTCAGTCTCCTGACCCAAGATTGTTCTTTAATAGACCTTTCTGAAGGTTAAATGATGTGCATGCTCATCTACACATGCTGTTGCATAGCTTGTCCTCAGTCTATTATCATTTATACTTCTTTTTACCATTATACAATTATACAGCTACTCATTGTCATTTACCTAGTACACTAGGACTGTCTAGAACAAAATTGAAGATGAGATGGATTACTCTTCCAAAAAAGTCCAGGATTTATTCATCTATTCATTCATTCATTCATTCATTCATTCATTCATTCATTCAACTTCAACATATTTACAGAGCCTAGAACAAGTCAAGTTTTGGTTGGTGATGTCAGAGACTACTGCTCTGCTCCTTGTCCTGTTCAACATAGCAAGAGGCATTGTGATTTGAAGAAAAGGGTCCTCTGGGCTGGCAATCAGAGGACCAGAGTTCAAATACTAATCATCAGTTTCTATTTGTGCCACTGTAAGCAAGCTGCTCACATACATACCTCTGCAAGTCATGTGTAAAAGAATAGTGGTTCTGTCTACCTCACAAAAGATGGTTGGGAGCATCAAATTACATAATACATTTGAATGCATAAAGTATAAATGTCAGGGGTGATTAACCCTCAGCTACTTTTTGTACTTACTTTTTCCTTTTCAAATATGGATAGTTACAGACTTAATACTCATTACCTCATCTCCAGCAAGATTGTAAAATAACCTTTGAGTTTATGGTAATATGTATTTGTGAGAGGCATCTGCCCACTGTAGAGTCACAAGCACCCTATAAGTTATGGCAGAGAATAGAGAACGTAGATTAAATACTTTGGTGTGAATGGCTGTATTTTCAAATGGAAAAAAATTTGCTAGAGCAGTTTTAGGGAGGACTTCCAGCTTTGACAAAATCCCCAGGATAAACCTAGGCACTTATGCATCCAGTGGCCACATCCAGAACCACTGTTCACTAGTAAGAAGCCATAACTACCTTGGTCACCACTGAAAGTGTAAGATAAGTGCTAAGAAGGAAGGGGAAGAGATGCCAATAAGGGACATGGAAATAGCCTACTACACTTACAAATGCTGAAAGTTGCTAATGAACTAAGATCAAGTGATTATTTTAATAAATGATCATATATGGGAGAACAAGATTGACCTTAAAATGAATGTTTTCATAGTTGTTTAAGATTTTCATAGTTGTTTTCGTAGTTGTTTAAGATTATATACTGAGGATGAATTAATAGTATTTTATTAAATATTTCTAATTAATTGAAAGGAATTTCCCATATTTGCATTTGTTATAAATATATAATGTCTGAAAAATCGTTTTTATGTGTAATTAATAAAATATTGATTTTCACAAAACAATTTCTGTATTATTTTATTTGAGATAGAACTTCCAAATAAATTCCTATCTAGATAAGGATACCTATACATAAGTAGATATCCATTATTTTAAAATAGAAAATATTATTATAATAATCAAAATTTAAAACTGGACACTACTACACCATTGTCTTCATCCTGGCCCATGTTCCTCTGTTTAATATTCAAATCCCTCTGTAATTTGATGGGGTTGGTCTCCTCTCTGAGCAAAGGTCATCCTTAATAAGACATGTACTGGCATTTTCTGAAGCAGTCCTCCTTTGGCTAAGGACACAGTGGCATACTGTTTGCCACACTGTAACCTAATATAATAGGTGTGAAATAGAGATTGGAACAGATCATAGCCTGAGGCATTCAGCTGGGAGTTCAGGAACATCTCCCTTAAGAAATGCTGGCTGAGCCAAACCTCAAAAGATAAATAGGAAGAAATAAGAACAAAGAAAATAAGAAGGACCGTATCTTAGTTAGTTTTCTATTGCTGTGATGAGGACCATGACCAAAAGCTAGTTGGGGAGGAACAGGGTTATTTCATCTTACTGCTTATAGTCCATGATGAAGGGAATTCAGAGAAGGCACTTGAGGCAGGAACTTGGAGACAGAAACTGAAGCAAAGGCCATGGGGTAGGGGGAGCATCACTTACTTGGTCTCTGTGACTTGCTCAGCCTGCTTTATGCAACCCCGGACCATAGGCTCAGGGGTGGCACTGCCCATAGTAGACTAGACCCTCCCACGTCAATCATCAATCAAGACTATGCTCACAGATGTGCCTGCAGGCAATCTGATGGAGGCATTTCCTCCACTAAGAGTCCCTCTTCCTCTATGACTCTAGTTTGTATTAAGCTGAAAAAAAAAAATAAATAAAACTAACCACACAACTTTTGTCGTACTGGTTTTCTTTCTTTCTTTCTCTTTTTTCTTCCTTCTTTTCTTTATCTCTTTTTTGTTGTTTTTCCTCCTTATTTTGAGAGAGAAGGGGGGATGGAGAACATGCACATTAAGTTGGGTGGAGAGGATCTGAGAGGAGTTGGGGACAGAGAAATAATACAGAAAAAACATTTTTAACCAGCAAAATTGAACCTTGGTCAATAAGACACATAAACACATCACTATTAAACCATAACCTGTTATTTCTTGTTTATTCCCAAGATCTCATGTTAATATCACAATATAAAACATAGTACAACTTTAAAAGTCCCACAGTCTTTTTAAAAACTCAAATGGTCTCTTTAAAATATTCAGCATCTCTTTAAAAATCCAAAGTCTCTCAACTGTAAAATAAAAGTCACATACTTTTTATTCCAAGAGGAGGACCCCAGACACAGTCACAATTAAATAAAAGCCAAACCAACACCCATCAGTATAAATAACTGTACTCAATGTTATGAACTCATTCACGATCTTCTGGGCTCCAAAGGGCATGGGCCGCTCTATCTCTCTGGCTCTGTATGTTATCTGCATCACACCCTGCTTGTCTCATTGGATCGGGCCAGCGCTACTCCACACCTGCTGCTGACCTTGATCATACCTGGGTTCTTCCATCTCCAATATGCTGGGGTGTCCTGCACTGTTCCACCTTCACCAATGGGTTCCTGGCCTCTATTCAAGGACTCCAAACCTGCAACACGATGCTAAACTTCTCCAGGACTCCTTTAATTCTGGAGCATCCTCTGCTCCAGAGGCTTCCCCTGGGCCAATGGTCTCTCCTGGGCTCTCACAGGGCCAAGCCTCAGCTGTTCTCATGACCCCCTCAGCCTTGCAGCTCCGATGAGGCCAACACCAGCACCACATGCGAACATTCTTACGAAATACCAAGTTCAGCTGCCAGCTTGAGATGCAGCCTTGGACTGCTGTGAACCATAGCTTCTTGTGCTGTCTCTAAGAGAATGCTTTGAAGATTTCACTTCAGTGATGCTGATCTCTTATTAAGCTGATTCCTCAGCCCTCCTGACCCAGAGGCTAGAGATCGTTATAAAATATATCACACAGATAGTCCTGACAGTCTTTACTTCCCTCTGAAACTTCACAAGCAAGAACCCCATCATCTGCACTTGACACTCTTATCTTCCAAGCTCCTACAGAACAGCCCATTAAACTTTGAACACCCACCCAGTGGCTTTTCCAGCCCAGGGTTCCAAAGACATGGCCAAGTCTGTCACATCAATACCATATGGCTCGAATAATAGCTTCTGGTCTAGTTTGCTTTCTGTTGCTGTGAAAAACACCATGACCAACAGAAAACTGAGGAGAAAGGGGTTTATTTCATGTTACAGCTTATAGTCCAACAGAAAGGGAAATCTGCAGAAACTCAAGGCGGCAACCTCGAAATATGAACTGAAGGAGAGATCATGGAGGAACACTGTCTACTGGCTTGCTCTTCATGGTTTTCTCAACCTACTTTCTTGTAAAAACCTAGGACCACCTGCCAGAGCTCCTATAGTGGGAAGGAACCTCCCATATCAATCATTAAAATTAAGAAATGCCCACAGGGACTGGAGACATTGTTCAGTGTTGTTCTTGCAGAAGACCTAGCACCCACATAGTGGTTTATAACCACTCTAACTGCATTTCCAGGAAATGCAACCTCTTCTGGCCTTTGTAGGCAAGGCATGCATAAGATCCACATATATACACATAGGCAAAAATACATTCACATAACATAAATTAATTTTTAAAAAGCAAAAATGCTTAGTGGGGCCAGGAGGTGGTGGTGCATGTCTTTAATCCCATGTCTTTAATCGGGAGGCAGAGGCAGGCAGATCTCTGTGAGTTCAAGGCCAGCCTGGACTACAGAGTGAGTTCCAGGAAAGGCACCAAAGCTACACAGAGAAAAACATGTCTTGAAAACAAACAAACAAAAAATGCTGGGTTGCAGAAATGGCTCAGCAGTTAAGAGTACTGATTGCTCTTTTGGAGGTCCTGAGTTCAATTCCCAGCAACCATGTGGCAGCTCACAATCAGAATGTCCTCTTCTGGCCTGCAGGCATACATGCAAACACAGCACCAAAAATAAATAAAATAATAATAATAGGTCTTTTAAAAAAGGAGTAAAAATGCCTGACAGATGTGCCTACAGGCCAATCTAATAGAGGCATTTTCTCGATTGAAGTTCCCTCTTCCTCCACGTCTCTAGCTTGTGCCAACTTGGAAAGAAAGAAAAAAAAACTAACCAGCACAAACCAACATAAACACAGGTCTCTGTTAAAGAGACATTTCAGGGTAACAGCAATGGAAAGTTAGCAATCCCAATTCACTCACTTCTTAGATCTCCTCAAAATCCTATTCAGGAAAATACATTTACACATTTTAGAAAAGCATTGGAAACTAGTAATATTCAACAGTCTGCCTGAGTCTAGAAGGAGAAGGAGTTTCCATTAAGGCAAACTTGGATTATCCAGTATAGAGGAAAATTCAGAATGAAAGTTTGATAGGATGTTTCTACCTCTATCCTGTTGTTTTTTTTTTTAATTGTTTGTGCTTATGGGCACCTGATTTTTAACAAAGAAGCCAAAATCACTGAAAAAAAGATATCATCTTCAACAAATAGTGCTGGTCAAACTGGGTGTCTACATGTAGAAGAATGAAAATAAATCCATATTTATCAACTTGCATAAAACGCAATTCCAAATAGATCAATGACTTCAACATAAGGCTAGAAGGCCTGAATCTGAAAGTGGAGAAAGAGGGAAATAGTCTTGAACTCATTGGTACAGGAAAAGACTTTCAGAACACCCATAACACAGGCACTAAGAACAAGAATTAGTAAATGGGACCTCCTGAAACTGAGACACTTCTGCACAGTAAAGGAAACTGTCATTCAGTCAAAGCGGTAGCCTACAGAATGAGAAAACATCTTTACCAATTACATATCTGATGGATATATATATATATATATATATATAATTTAAAAATCTGGACATCAAGGAAACAATCCAATTAAAAATGGGGTACAGATTTAAACAGAATTCTCAAAGGATGAAACACAAATGGCTGAGAAACACTTAAAGAATGTTCAACATCCTTAGTCATCAGGGAAATACACATCAAAATGACTCTGAAATTTCATCTTACACCAGCCAGAATGGCCAATATCAATAAAATAAATGGCATCTCATGCTGATGAAGATGTGGGGAAAGAGGAATAACTATCTATTGCTGGTGGGAGAGCAAACTTGTACAGCCACTATAAAAGTCAATGTCATGGTTCCTCAGGAACTTGGGAATAGATCTACCTCAAGATCCAGCTATAATACTATTGGGCATATACCCAAAGGATTGTGCATCATACTATAGAAATACTTGCTCATCCATCTTCATAGCTGATCTATTCATACTGGCCAGAAATTGGCAATAGCCTAGATGTCAACCAACTAATGAATGAATAATGAAATGTGGTGCATTTACATAATGGAATATTATTCAGATGTTAAGAAAAATGAAATCATAAAATGCACTTGTAAATGGATAGAGCTGGCAAAAAAATCATCCTGAGGTAACCCATACCCCAAAAGACAAATACTGTATGTTTTCTATTATATGTAGACATATAATAGAAACCTTTGACAGGTGTTGCTCCAGTCCATGTAACCACAGAGGTTAGGGTAGAGTAAGAAACTAAGAGCAAGGGAAGTATCTCCCAAAGAAAGGGAAATAGAATATATATAGAGAGAGAGACACAGGGGAGACTGGAACAGAAGGATTAAACAGGGAAGAGGAAGGAATACGAGGAAAGACAACTAATACTGGAGGCCATTTGGAGGAGTCATGTAAATCTACTGTAGAAGTTCCTTAAATACATACATATATAAAAGAAACATAAATAGAATCACTAAATAATGTGGGAGACAAAACCCCAACTAGACATCTTTTGCTACCAAGTGAAACCTTCGGTGTCAGGAATGGGTTACATCTAGTTGAGTCATTGGCCAAAAGGGCCCAAGTATCTGAAACTATTTCCTTACCCACAAACTGATTGTAAAGCCTTTTTTCTGCAGATAACACTTACATATCTCATTGAACACAGAGACATCAAGATGTTCCCTACCTAGATCCTTTATCCCTACTGACTAGTGTTGATGGTACTAGAATGTGTGCTGCATGCTACCAGAGAAGAAAGGTAACCATCAACCCAGTTATAAATCCTGCACTCTACAACAGTAACCTGCCTGTGAGATATGCTGGGGCCATGGTGACACAAATGTAGGGGTAACCAACCACATTCTTATTGGATTTAAGGCCCACTCCACAAGATGAAACCCACGCCTGCTTGAGTAGCTAAGAACCTGAGACTAGATAGGTCATGGCCCTAGGAGAAAACCAAATACTATTCTTCTGCTAAAGGAAATTGCAATAAAATGACTCCTAATTGGACAATGTGAGAACTTTGGGCACACTCAGTCCTAAATGGATGTCTACATCAAACCCTCCCCTCAGGGCTCAGGGAGCTATGCTGAAGAGGAGGAGGAAGATTGTAAGAGGCAGAAGGGATGGATGGGGATGGATGACTCCAAACAGTGTCCTCCAGACACAACCGGAAAGATGCACATATGAACTCAGAGACTGTGGCAGCATGCTCAGAGCCTGTACAAGTCTAAACCAGATGGAGTTCCAGTGCTGAGAGGGAGAAGTGGACAGGAGCTCCAATCCCTAATCAAAAGATATCTCCAGTTGGCATCTATTTGCAAAGGAAAGGTTAGTTTTTCCAAATGGAATATCACTGTGTATATTAATCACAATTAAGGGTAAATCCCATGACCAACAATAGATGGTCATCACAAAATGAACCCAATGTTATTTTTCCAGACTTTTTGTAACAAATTGCTTTGTTTTGGCATTTTTGTATTGTTGGACTTTTGCTTATATGTTATGTTTTCCAATTTTGTGTTTTTATAGGTTTTGTTTTTGTGTGTATGTCTATGTGTGTATCTTTCTCTCTGTGTTTCTTGTGTGTATGCATGTATGCATGCATGTGTGTGTGTGTGTTATTATTCTGGTTTTTCTTTGCCTGTTTCTTTTCTAAAGAGAGAGAGAGAAGGGGTGCAGAGATCCATGGGTCAGGAGATGGGGAGGATCTGAGAAGAGTTAAGGTAAGGGAAACCATGATCAGAATATATTTTTTTCAATAAAGTATATTAAAAATAAATAAATACTTTTATGAATCATTCTCTTCTCAAATATAGTTAAAATAACCCTGTAGAGATTAAATACTTCCAGAAAGAGGACGAAAACTGTGGTGAAATATTATGTACCCTAATAAACTTGCCTGAAGATCAAAAAACAGAGCCAGCCACTAGATTAGACATAGAGGTCAGTCAGTGGTGGCACATACCTTTAATCCCAGCACTTAAGATCTCATGTCTTTGCTTGGGAAGCACACATGCCTTTAATCCCAGGAAGTAATATGGCAGAGCAGAGATAGGCATATAAGGCATTTATTTCTCTTTAGGCTAAGGACTTCGTAGAGGTAAGAACTAATGGCTGGCTGCGCTGCTTCTCTGCTCTTTCAGCTTTTACCCTGATATCTGGCTCTGGGTTTTTATTATTAAAAGAACATCTAAAATTCAAACAACAGAAAACTCTGAAGGTCCATAAAGCAATGAGAGCAGTGGGAAACCCAGCATACCCTTTTTGATAGTACCCTGGAAACTATAATTTTGCAACATCTCAAATAATCAATAAAGAAGAAAACTGTGTGGGAGGTGTGGGAGGCTGATTTAATATTTAAAATCCTGTTAATCTATAACAGAACTCATGCATGAAATTCTCAAAATAAATTAAAAATTATAAGATGTCACTTCAGCTATTCATATATAAAAAGCTATTAATGTCAAATAGTTTAATTACATTGTTATTAAAATAGATGAATTAATTTGAGCTTAATATGTCATAAGCAACCACTATGCTGCTAAGTAAGATTCCAGAAATTGGGAACTGTACAGAAGGCTCTGTAGTTAAGATCAATTCTTTTTTTCCCCCCCAGAAGACCCAAGTTTGGTTCCCAAGATCCATGTTTGGTGACCTACAATAGCCTATAACTCTAGCTCGAGGGAGATTTGACACCTTTGGCCTCCAAGGGCACTCACAAGGACACACACACACACACACACACACACACACACACACACACAAAATTAAAAACAATAAAAAACATTCTGGAATTTAATTTGCTTATACTGTCATATTAATATTTTTTAAAGTAAGAGATAACTCTCTAGTTACATGATTCCTGTGAGAATATAATAGTCCCCTATTTTTGTCAATTTACTTAATACATAAAAATATGATTTGTCAGGCGGTGGTGGCGCACGCCTTTAATCCCAGCACTCGGGAGGCAGAGCCAGGTGGATGTCTGCGAGTTCGAGGCCAGCCTGGGCTACCAAGTGAGTTCCAGGAAAGGCACAAAGCTACACAGAGAAACCCTGTCTCAAAAAACAAACATACATACATACATATATATATATATATACATACATATATATATATATGATTTAAATAAAACAAAGTTTTTCTCCCCTTTGGCAAAAAAAAATCTACACATAGACAATCAAATGAGCAGACCAATATATTCTAAGAAAGCATGTATCAAAATTCAACACTTATTATGATAAGACTCTCAGTAATGAGCAATAGAGGAAAAGTCCTTCAACTGCATAGAATATACACAAGAATCTTTTAGCTAATATCATGCCTAATGATGAAAACTTGAAGCATTCCCACTAGCTAAGGAACAAGGCAAGAATTCCCCTCCACACTCATTTCTACAGACTAGAAGTCCAGGCTGGTGGAGTGAGGCAAGAAAGCAGCTAGTAGACAGGATTGGAAGGAATCAAACTGTGTTCACTCATGACACACTAATTTATGTAAAACAGTTCCCCAGACCAAAAAACAGTTTCTAGAAAAAAATAAGTAATTATAATGTTGCCCATACAGTTAGCATACAAAAGTCAATTACTAGGCTATGATTGTAGCTTTGTGGTAGAGCACTTGCCTGGCTTTGAGTTCAATCCTCAGTATTTCTGGGGAGAAAAGTTTATTTCCTGCATGCCAACAAGAAGCAGGTACAATTTAAAATTAAAAACAACACTATTTACATTAAAATCATTCAAAATTAAGTGATGTAAACTGAGCAAAATGTGTTCAAGTTCTATGTGAGAAAAATCTACAAATCTCTGATAAAAGAACATTTAAATAGAGATGTTCTCCATTAATTAATAGGCAGATTTAATATTATCAAGATGACAATTCTCAACTTGATCTGTGGTTTCATTATAATCCCCATTAAAATATTAGGAAGTTGCTTTATGGATTGTAGGAAAAATGAAGTCCTTGTGCTCACAGACAAGCACTAGGGAAACCAGGAATGTGAAACACTAGGGTTGTCTCTGGGAAAGGATGTTAGTAGCCAGGCCACACCTGGCTCCCCCAAACTCTTAATGTTTATTTTAGTCAATCTATAGCGCTCTCCTTCCCAGTCCCTTATCTTGATCATTGTTTATCCTGAGCCTGCTTTCTCAGTCAATCTATAGAGCCCATGTGCTTTACAAATGGGAGCAGATGTGGTTTATAGTCTGGTGACCTTTGCACTATCTATATGACTGAAACCCTACCAGATCCTTTCCCCAGACCTCTAAGAAGTCACATGCGGTCAATTTATGGAAGAGATCACATGTACTTTACAAAGAGTTTCAACATAATTATGTCTTAAGCTTTGTTGTACATATGGGATTGAATTAATTATCACCAGAAACTTTTTTCTGAGTTGTTTTGTTTTAAATATACCTGTAAAAACTACCCAGTGTCAGACTCCCAAAGTTTGAACCAACACTGTTTACTAAGTTATGTCGAACTGACCTTCTTCTTGCCTTACATGGACCAGATCAACACTGATGGCCATGGTGTTTGCAGAAAACGCCCACAAGGGATACTGAAAAAATTATTTGAACATTATTATGGAGAGGCTAAAGGCCCTTACTGGTCAAAACAACATTGAGTGAGAACCAAAAAGTTGGTGGATGCTAACCAACCTCAAGACTTAGCAAAATGACAACATTCAATACTGCAGTGGTGAAAGAACAGACAACAGATGCATGGAACAGAATACAGGACGTAGACCTAGACTCACAGACTACAACAAGTAGTCTTTGACAGATGATCAGAACTAGTGCAGTGGAGCAGGTAATCATTCGACAACCACAGACCGAATGCCTGGTCATACACACGCAAGAAATGAAACTAGACATACACCGAACAGGCATTGTTCACAAAATTAAAGTGGGAAAGGGATGAAGAGTTTAAAAAAAGAGGGATTTTTAAAGGATGGTAAGATGCACGCATGTTATCCTACATTTGCCAAGACCCACAAAATGTACAGCATCAAGAACAAACCCTAATAAAAGCTACAGACTTTCAGTTATGCTATGTCCATACAGATTCATGAGTTACAGCAAATACAGAAATGGGGAGGGGATATTGCTAGTGGGGGAGATTTATTTATGTATTGAGACAAGGCATGTATTGGAAATCTGTACTTTCTCAAATAAACCGTGAGCCTGCAACAAGTCTTTCAAATATATAAATAAAGGGCGTTAGTGTGCCCTGCTATCTATGGACGTAGCGGGTACTCCTGTCCCTGCCCACCATCTGTCCTGGGGTTCTATTTACTTTGCTATTGCCATTTTTAAAAGGATGATTCACAAGACACAAAGATTGGGATGTGAAGTCACAGTGAATTTCTATGATCTTTCAGTTTTGTCATTCATACAAAGGACAATCTGGGATGTCAACTCACTAAGGGAACTACTGGACTAACAAGGGGACAGGCAAGGAGACAGTTCCAAAGTCTAGCAAAAGCACAACACAGAGAAGCCACCTAAGGATGCCACTGGATAATCAAAGTGAATTTATTTCTGAATTAAGGATCATCAAAGGGAAATATTATCTCTCATGTTATAAAAACAGTAGTAAAATACAGTACACAGGAATGCCATTTGAATGTTAAGAAGATGAAAGTACAATAGCAACTGAAAGTTGGTTCATTTTAACCTTAAATACAAAGGTAAAGCAGTTTAAAAAGAAATTTTGTTAATATGAAAATATATGTCCCATGTCTTTATTACATACTGTACAAAATAAAATATTGCACCTTTGAGTCATATAATAAATATATACAGAGAGTATTTTACAAATGATCTTTCTTTTAATTTAATAAGCTCAACTATCAGCTGCGACTGATGACTAAGCACTCAAGGGCTGGTGTGCTCTTTCCTCTGCCCTGTCCGCTCCAGACCACCAAACCCTCCACCTACAGTAGTGTTCATCCCAGTGTCGGTGAGGCTGACGTTGGAACGGAAGAGAGACCTGTGCTCAGAAGATGACAGAGAGGCTCGGCAAGCTCCTCTACAGACAGATCCAAAGCCACAATGCGCTGTTCACATGTCGATCAGGAGGTAGGTCTAACACAACCTGCCTCGGGAAAGGTTGCGTTACATGCCAGGAGGCTGTGGGCAGTACGTGTGCAAGCAGTCGGGACACTGAGTGAAGAAGCAGGACCATTTATTTGGGGTTGTGTAGCGTCTAAAGCCATAACTGGTCAAATATCAGGGAAAGGTCCCCATAGCCAAATCGGTTGTAGGAGTTAAAGTGAATGCTAGCCTGAACCTTCTTTAGCAGCAAAGCTCACTCCACTGTCATGAAGAGCAGCGTGGGCCCGAGACCAACCCCTTCCGAAACGGGCTCTAACCTTAAAGTCAGCTCTGGTCTTAGCCCTGGTGTAACTTCCCTCTCACCTAACTGAATCCTAGTGCTAGTCCAAGATTAATTCAACCCTTTTTCCCAAAGCACAACTCAAATCCCAGCTCTAGCTCCTAACCCCCAAATTGTTTTTTTTCGAGCCTAATCTTAATTGACTTTGGATTTCCCGACAAAATCACCTCAAATTAAAACAATCATTTACTATAAACAATTCCTTTAACTATTGTATTTCTTATTTAGATTACTTTCTAATAAACTTTCCAAAATAGAAATCATCAGGAATATTATTGTATGTATAAATTACATCTAATAAGGCTTTGATCTCTATGTGCAAGAGAATAGTGCTTAGAAAAAGTTCCATTCACAGCTCTGAAAAGAAAGCTTTGAATATACTTCAAAATCAGTAGAAAGGTTAGCTTTTCCTCTCCTGTGATTTCCAAGATGCCTCATTTGGTCACAGATCGATTTCTATAGTTATGAAAATGGCAGCCATGCCTACTGTGTTTTCTTCCATGGATGCTCTAAGAGGGAAGACGAGATGCCGTTCGCAGCGATCCTTGGCCCAGCCGGTGTCATAAGCTGTTAAGGGAGATGCCCTCTTCTTCACATAATAAACTTAAGGATCTATAAAAATGCCATTAGTGGCATCATCTGAACAGCTACTGGCCAGAGCCTTTAAATGGTCAATACCAAAAAAAAAAAAAAATACGTTGAAACTCTGCAACTTGAGAGAAACCCTCAGCTGCAGAGTCTTCAGTATGGACCACTTTTGACTGGTCTACAAATCGCAGCAGGTGATGATGTGCTCATGATGAAGTCACACAAGCAAGGGCATGGCTGCTGATGCAGTTTTGCTAATCCTAGAATCCACTGTTTGTAGGAACTGGAATTAAAAAGCAACCACTGGCAAAGCTACCTTTACAAACTTGTAGCAGGCTCTGTTCCTGCACCAACCTCTGCTTGACCATAGAATCTAGAAACTTGGAGACGTGTGTGGTTTCGAACCAGAGACATGGGGGAAAAAGCCTCTCTTTTTCTTTTCTCACCACAGCAGCATCACAACCCTGCCAACGCTTCATCCTTCTAGGCACGACTGGCAGCACCTTTGTTTGTAGAGGGCCAGAGAGCACAAGTTAAGGTGCTTTACGAACGTACAGTAGTGCGTTGTATCAGTGCAGTTTCCTGCAAAAACAAAGAAAAGAAAAGAATCCATAGCACGTGGTTCAGGAGAGAGTGAGTAAGAACTAGGTATATCTGGGCAACTGCTTTGCACTACGTCAGAGTCACAGTGAGCTCACTTCTCCACTTGGCTTCTTGTGGTACCTTGAGATCCTTACAGATCCTCTGACCCAGGCCACTTCTTTCAGGGCTGAGGGTAGGGGTTACTTTTTGTGGGACCATAGACACTTTGGAAAACTTATGAAAGCCTCATACTTGCCCCATAGAAAAGTAACACGCAATTATATTCACCGTCTAATTTTAGGACATTTGCTCACCTATCCAAGCCCATTGGCTCAGGCTGAGCAGAGGAGACTGCTAAGGAAAATGTGTGTGGAGTGGCTGCCACTGCCTCATGAGTCAGAGCTGCCGCCTGTGTCCCCACTCCTCCTATGTGACAGGGGTGAGGTGGGCACACTAGTGTCTGGGTTTTGACAAGGCTTCTGGGGCGCTGGTGGTACCTGAGAGGGGTACGTACTATCACAGGAAGGCCCAAGACAGTGCCTCCAGGACGCTGGTTTCATCTGCACACAGTGTCTGTCAGGCACGGGTTTGCAGCTCCCCGTGTGGATGCAGTCGACCTTGCGAGACTGGAAGCCCCTGCCGCAGACTGCTGTACAGGGCTTCCAGGGACCCACACGCCAACACGCCTCACAGGCCCCCGAGGTGCAGTTCCTCCTAAAGGCAGGTCTGAAATGGAAAAAAAAAAAAAGAAATATAAAATGGAAGAAGACGCCACTTTTTGCTGGCATCAATCAAGCCCCTTTTCCTACTATGAATTCCATGTGCCAAAGGCTTCCTCAAAAAACTGATTTGCACTGTCCATAGCTGGATAAGCAGAGTACTGGGACAATCTGACCATAATAAAGATAAGTAGATACTTGAGACTATTGACTGTTCCCCAGATGTTGGGAATGACCCTCTAGTCCACCTACATCATCACTAGATATGCTAGGAAGGCTCTGGAAATTGGCAAAGATATTTGATGAAAGGGAGAAAGGAAGACTTAGTTTAGAAAAAGTAATAGCATTGAGTTAACACTTAATGTATTAAGCACATGGAAATGAAGAAGAAGTAGAAATGGGTGAAAAGCACCCTCAGTACTGAAATGAAGTTGAAATGTGTATGAAGAGAGCCAACCAATGGCTGAGATGCCACAGTATGAGGCAAGAAGAGAGCACTGTCCTGTGAGAAGCCAGTGGTGAGCGCTCACCCTCAGGTGTGTGTGAGGAAAATGAACAGGGTGTGAAATCACCTCAAAGGAATCCTCATCACCAGGAAAGGCGGTGATGCTCCACTGATGGCGAGCACAAGGTCTCTGCACCTTAGAGTGTTCTATCTAAAACCAAGACCTGAGCTGAGCACAGGGCTGTGAGTCTTGCTCCTTGAGAGTCTGAAGTAAGAAGACTCAAAGGTCAAGTTTTGCCTCATCTACAGAAAGTCCAAAGTTTAAAAAAAAAAAAAAAGCCTGGGGATATAGTTAGTGGTAGATCACTTGCTTAGCAGGCAAAAGGCCCTAGATTCAATTCCCAACA